AGCTTTGTGCATAATTTTGCCTCTATAATTCATATATTTTAGCACTATATTAATAGGTAATTGGTTATATTTTCTGAGTAACATGTTGTCCTATCATCAGAAACAAAAAATTAAACAAAGGTACAAACGTTACAAAAATATGTGCCCACATTCCGATCATAAATTGTGTCCGGAATTTCCTGTAGTGTCCGTAACGGTGTAATTCCTGCCATGTGAAAATGTTTTCAAAGTTCTTATATACTTTGATTTGTGCAACTACCCCCGGGGACTAGCTGTGGTATAATAATATTCAGCTAAGCATAACAGTTTTTTGTTGCAATTTAATGAATGGCATTTGTAGTGTCCGTAACGTATGTAGTGTCCGTAACACAAGTTTGTGATGGTGTTAATGGTGTAAAAATACAGCTTGATAACTAAATACTACTAATTTGTAATTCAAATTTGATTTGATACAGTTGCTCTTCTCAATGAATCAAAAGGTACGGGGTTCAAATCCCGCCGCAGCACTAATGTCCTTTGGCAAGACGTTAATCTACATTTGCCACTCTCCACCCAGGTGTCAATGGTACCTGATATGCTTGAGCGCTAGTTACTTTGGCAGCTCGGCTACGACCAGGGTAATATGTGTAAAGCGCCATGAGCGTCAGAACCTGGCGGATACCGGCGCTATATAAATAACCATATTATTAAAAAAATTCTCTTTCCATGGGAGGTTTTCTCCTGGATATGATATTTCGCAAACAAATAAGCTATTTTCCATCAATTTAATTTTAAAGATAAAAAAAATTGACTTACAAGTAATTTAATATCTATATTTTATTTCAACAATATCAGTTAGATGTAATAAAGTATGAAATTAAATGCATCATTGTGTTTTAGTTTCAATATTGAGGGTAGAAAAGAGTAGAAGCCAGTGTTACGGACACTACAGATCTGTGTTACGGACACTACAGGAGGAGTAATATCAAGGCCTGGAAGCCAAACTATACCTCCTTTTCTGGATAACAGTGTTCGAAAATAAATTTTAACAATGTAAAAGCTGTCTATGACATCAAATATGTATGATGCATGAGAAAATACAATATTTTAATCATTTAATTGCCTACCTACAAAATGTATAAGTCACTACATTGTAGTTTATGTCCACACACACATAAACACTTTGGCACACACCAGTACATGTATGACTAGTATCTGCTAAGGACTATGGAAACATACCTTCTTTTGAGGACACCCCCTTTGAGGGGATTTACATATAAGTTATGAAATATATCATCGTCTTCGTTTTTGCTCACAATTTCTCTTGATAAAGTAAGCTAACTACTTGATAGAGAGAGAGAGAAAAAAATAGACTGAGGTCGCTTCTGACTTCTTTACAGACATTTTTATATATATCTGAAGATTTTATGAATACTGGTTTAATTGCGACCACCAATAACGATCACCGAACATCTGAGGATTATCGAATAAACGTATCAGAAATGACTATTGCGTACACCATAATTTTGCATATAGATTAATTATCACTGTATTTTGGCGTACACTGTCTAAGGTTTTACAAGTATACCACTTAGTTGGTTGGATTACTCTTCATAAAGTACACACTGTGGTCTTTTTTTGACCCCAATTTTTCCAACGCTATTTTAACGAGCTCCTATAAATGGGTTCTAAACATACTGAATATATCCTGCAGCACGGACGATAAAAGGACACAGTGGGAACTTTCTTTTCCAAACATATTGTTATTTCGGCCTCACTGAACAAATCTTGTAAGGTCCTATGGTTACTTCTCAAAATAATGAAGTACATCATATTTTTGCATTTTCAAGGGTTTCCATGCTAATGTCTAATAAGAGGCTCACCTTAAGTATGCTACATGATGTACATTGATCTACATTTGCCACACTCCACCCAGGTGAAGTAAATGGGTACCTGGCAGGATTTTTTTAAGGGGGGGGGGGGGGGGGGGGGGGGTAAGAGGTCACTTTTTTTTTTTTTTTTGTCCCAAAAAAAATTGCAACGACTCAGCCGACCGCTGAAGAAGCGGGGGGGGATAGGACACTTTTTTTTTGTCGCAACGACTCAGCCGACCGGGGGGGGGGGGGGGGGGGGGGGGGGGGGGGGGGGGGGGGGGGGGGGGGGGGGGGGGGGGGGGAAGAGGGCACTTTTTTTTTTTTTTGGTCTCAATTTGGAAATTTGGAATTTGGTTGGGGGGGGGGGGGGGGGGGGGGTAAGGTCAGCTTTTTTAGGTCAAACATGGGAATATTTTTTTTTTTTTTTTTTTTAATAAAAAAAAAAATATCCAAAAGGGGGGGGGGGGGGTTTAGAGAAACTTAGGGGGGGTTTACACACAAAAAATTACCAAAGGGGGGGGGGGGGGTTAACCCCCCAAACCCCCCCCCCCCCCCCCCCCCCCGTGTACCCGCCTGCTTGAAATGCAGCGCGCGTAACAGCTGCACTGCTAAAGCCAGGGTAATTATGCTGCATTATTGTAGAGCGCTTAGAGACTTCTGACAAAGTAAGTGTTAGGCGCTATATAAGCACTGTAATTATTATTATTACAGTATTATCCTCCTTTTATCTGTTCTTCCTTATTTTATTGTATTGTTCTTCCTTTTCCTTATTTCTGATTCTTATCCTTTTCTTTATTCTTCTTTTTCTTTTGTTAAGTAGTTATCTTTTTTATTCTCTTCTTCCTTCTTTCAATCTTTCCTCATGCTTTCCTTCTTTATATCATTTTTTTTAATGTCTTCTTTCATGTTTTTATGACTAAATTAGGCTTCTTTCAAATTTTTAAAGTGAGCAAAGAAGATGGAGAAGAAGAAAAAAAAACAACACTACAATTGGGCCACCTCTGGAACTACATAGAACAACTTGTGTTGTCTGTTTGTCAGATTTTTCTGCTTCTATTGAAAGGGTGGACTTCCTAAGTCCTATCCAAGAGACTTGGTAATGAGGATTTGAAAAGATACCCTCTGTTGGCCTCAAGATATTATGCAGCAACAACAATGATGGCAGAAAAAAAAGCAAATGGATTACTTATATATTGCATCAAAGAATAGCATGTATATGTATAAAATGTAGTGTCCGTAACAATGGGTAACATCCTATAGGATTTTTGTATACATAAGTTATTTTGGACAACTTATGATATGAAACGAGCCTTCCTAGCAACTTGATTTGTTTTTATATGTATACAGATGGGACTAAAGTTTGTAATTTGTCTCATTTATCAATGTTTGGTTGGCTTTTCAAAAAGTTTCAGGTTTTGAAAAAAATGTCATTTATCAGATTTTACCTTGTGTTACATCTGAAGTGTATACTGCGTCTAATTTATGGACTGAAGTGAGTGTGAATTGTTTTATTTTTCACAAATGGCCAAAAAATTCCCCACAGAAGTGCAAAATATTTGAGTGTTAAGATAAATAATGCTTGAAAATTCCATTTCGGTAGTTTTGTGTAGTGTCCGTAACATCCTATACGATTTTGTACATAAGTTATTTGGACAATTTATGAAATGATACGAGCCTTCCTAGCAATTTAATTTGTTTTTATATGTATACAGATGGGACTAAACTTTGTAATTTGTCTCGTTTATCAATGTTTGGTTGGCTTTTTAAAAAGTTTCAGGATTTGAAAAAATGTAATTTATCAAATTTGACCTTGTGTTACCTCTGATGTGTATACTGCGTCTAATTTATGGACTGAAGTGAGTGTGAATTGTTTTATTTTTCACAAATGGCCAAGAAATTCCTCATAGAAGTGCAAAATATTTGAGTGTTAAGATAAATAATGCTTGAAAACCTACCACCCCCTGTGGTGTTGATGCTCATAAAATGATAACCAAGATAGTTTCCTCAAGGATATTGCAGGGTATTAACCCCAGGGTACGGATGAACAATTTGGGGTTGATGAAACTGCTCTATTGCATACTTTATTTATGGACCCAAGTGCAAATGGTTTTGCACCCTGATTGTGGCTATACCGACTGTGTTTCTAACCTTCAGACATTTCCCAAAATCAATAATATCTTTACTCTCAACTCTCTACAAATGCATGATACAGTGTACACAGGCAACATAAAATGCAGAAAAGACATGGATGTAAGACTGGATCTTAAGGATTTGATAAACATACATGTAGCAACAAAAAAGATATATCAATTTATCAAATCTCTATCTTATACCATTACATGTACATGTCAAAACAAGTATATGACTAGGAAACAAACTATGATGGGGGAAAAAGAGTAAGAGGGGGGAAAAGAGTAAGAGATGGAAAGTGTACCTGTGACTCAAAGAAGGAGAGCTTGCGAAGTGATTCAGATTCTTCATCCTTTTGAGTGTAGCAGGAATACATAAATAGAATCCGTATATTATATCAAGTCTGTTTTTCACAAATTAGAGTGAATTTGTACTTACATTTCGAAACCAAGGGTTAAATGTATACCCAAGTCACACCACTAAATCGACCCAAAACTTGCTTTTAATCCACAGAATCTTGTTGATTGTGTGGGTAATTTTTTCTTCTCCTGTCTACTGTCTGCCTGGTGTTTCTCCCCTCGATGTGACTGGGGTATTACTATTCAGTGATGTAAAGCGCTGGTCAGATTTTTTATTAAAATGTGAATCATGTACGGCAGTAATTCTTTGTTTTATTTCTACAAAATGTAGCATGTAAAAATGAGAGAGTGGACACATATACCCTGCCCCCTCTCTCAAAAAAATATTAACAAATGAACCCCTATTAAAGCCCAGAAATTGCCAATTTGAATCTCTTCTTGCCCATCTCATGTCAAAGGGAATCCTGTGTATTTTGCTCTTACAATACAAATGTACTTCAAAACAACATGGTTCAATGCCTGGAATTCTTCAAAAACATACAAAAATAATGCAATCTTTATCTTTCAATAAAAATGTTCACATACATAAATATCTTTAAAGCACATAGAAAGATTCTTATTCAGTGCTATATTATTACTATCCATGTATAAGTCTCACCTTTAGAGGAATGCCTTCGTCTTTCCTATCGTTGTACATGTCACGCATATCAATGATCTTATTCTCCAGCTTCTCCACAGACCAGATCTGTGTCCCTCTGTCCTTACCCTTCACCTGAATGGCCGGCTCACTCACTATGGCTCCTCTCTGACCAATCAAATCAAAGGTTAGAAAGATATAAGTCATCTATTCATCGTAATGGGAATGCTTGTTTAAAAACTAATTCCATTTTATTTACATTTTACAATACATATTCATCACTTATGTATCTACTAAATATACTGTCATTTATCATGCTAAGCCTTGCACTGCTTTCAGTAACATCCATCCAACATAATAATAGAAGTGTTAAAAATGAGAATTTTCATAGACCAATTTTACAATTTCTGGAGGATTTTCTGTTATCTTTGTTGGAACTACCTCATTTAATTTTATGCTGGTCTAAAATCATCACAAACTAATCTGCTGCACAGCATTTTCTTGTTGCACAGATTCATGTATATTTGCATTCAATAAAGCCACATGTATAGGGCATACATTTTTGGAACAAAAAATAATATCAGGGCCACAGGAATAAAATTGATGCTCCTATGCCTTTTCTACATTTATGATTATTCAGTGGGTTGATGACACATTGTGCAAAACTTTTTTGTCCTATTCTTTTATTAGTACAGGTTTTTCCGTGCTTTCTTGAGTGATCTCAGCCAAAAGACATTTTCGTCCAAATTGCATAAACTGAAAAAACAATTACTTTCTATAACATCATGAATGAAGGAGTAGAAGCAAGTGATAGGAGAGCTACCTTTCTATTTGGAGTAAGGTTACAGACCGGTATCTGTAGTGTGACTCTGAACTCTGTCTGTTTGCCCATTTCCTCCCCCAGGAAGTTGGCCTCTCTGATCAGGGCGTTTGCCTTGACAACGTCTTCACTCAGCTTGGCAAGACTCTGTCTGAACATATCATCCCTTGGGAGAAAAAGCCATTTAGAGTTCATCAACTGACTTAGCAATGACAAGTACTTATAAAGTGTATTTAATAACAAATAAAAAAATTACAGCATTGTTGACACACACACATGCATACTTAGAAGAGTCACTAGCTCAGTAGGCAACAACTATTAGGCAATTCAGGGGTGATAGTGAGCACTAAAAACAAAAACATTTTTTTTCCCCTTCTACCACGCCCCCCTTGAGTAAAAAAAAAAAAAAAAAGAAGAGAATTTGTGGAAAAAATGGCATCGAACATCATTCCCCCTTTTTGAGTAAAAAAATTGGGGAAAAATAGGGAAAAATAGAAAAAAAATAAGGGAATAATCAGGAAAATTTAGGAAGAAAAAAAAAATCAACAAAAATCAGGTAATTATCAGGCCTGGCAATTGAATGCTGGTGCAAAGCAAATTTCCACAATTGGGGGCAATGAATGAAGTTGTCAAGTTATCATACCAAGTTTAATACTCATTCATATCAGAAATACATACCAAATGAAGGGGGAAGTCTTTCAAACATTTAAGAAAATTTAAGAAAAACCATTTATTTTTGCATGAACATGCTAATTATCCATCTTATGTGAGTACATCTTTTATCAACTACACAAATATTTCATCACCTAAGATCTATCTTCACTGACCTGTCTTCGCTCCATTACTCATAAGGCTCCACCCCTAGCGACGACCCTATCCCTAACGATGACCCATCACCGCTCTGGCTCTGGGTCCCTTCATCTTCTATCCTCCTATCCTCCTGTCTGCTGTTGGGTTGGTGGTGACCTGAGGAGTTCTTGGGAACCAGCTGTTGCTTCAGTGCGGCCAGCTCCTGCTCGTAAGCCTCCCGCTGCTTGAAAAGGGCGCCATCTTTGTCCTTTTGGTGCTGGACTTCTATGAGCTTCATGGCAGCTTGTACAGGGTCTAGTGAAAGAGGAGATGTATATGATTACTACAATTACAGAAGTTATTCAAACCCAATTATGTCCATCTAGGCCAAAACTGTTTGATTTTTATCCATTTAAGAGAAAGCTGTACAAAAAAAAATCTGCATTTCTAGGCAAAGATTGAAAAATGGAAAATAATGTAGATTGACTACTAGTACTTACCGTCAAAATATACATGCTAGTAATTTTCTGTCAATTATCAATCAAGTTGATTTACAGAAGTCAACTTCTACCTGATTACACTACATTATATATGTAATGAATTTCATACAGCCCAATATAACACAATTAATCAATGGTTAAATATGTACAAAGGTAAAATGTATGGCTTATCCTTTCATCAAATCATAGTTCAATAGAAATAATCCATACAATTTTGAATGAGAGTATTTTATTTTGCAATTGTACACTAGCAGTTGGCACTTGACAGGTACATAAATTTACTATTTTGACTTCTGTTTTATTGTGCTGTTTACCATTGTGTAGTTCTTGCATCATGACTTCATTCTGTGCATAATCAAAGTCAAAGCTTTCTGTCACTGGCTGGGCCACAGGCTCAGGGGTTGTTGTTCCACTTGATCCTAGAAGAAAGAAAAAAGAAATAAAAATACAAAATAATCATGAACATTTAAAACCATCAATTGATTCGGGTAGCCCTGCTCTGGCTTATTTTGCTCTCGTCATCTATCCAACAATTTGTTCATCCTTCAATTAGTCATCACTCCATTAATCACCCATCAATAAATCCATTATAATCGACCCATTCCCTACATCCATTTACTCTCCAATACTTTATTTATTCCTCACCATATCTCCATCCATCTCTTCCTCTTTCTATCAATCCATCCATCCATCCATCCATCCATCTTTCCATCTATCTATTCATACATTCATAACCTATTCATTGCTCCCACCCTCTCTCCATCGAATCATCCATCCACACATCTGTTCTTCCCTTCATCATCCCCTCTAACCGCCATCCATCTTACCGTCCATCCATTTACCTCTTTATCCATCCATCCATCCATCCATCCATCCATATATATATTCATCTATCCATCTAATGCACACACCATCACACATATATCATTTCTTACCAACTCCAGGAGCTCTTGGACAGTTTATCCTGAAGAATTGATAGTTGCCTAGAAGTATCCTGTCTCCATACCTCAACGATGTCTTACTTGTCACAGCACTTCCATTGACATATACCCTAACAAAAACAATAGAAAAAAAAAAAAAACATTACAATCTCCCTCTCTGCTTTTCATCATTCAGTGGTAGCCTCATATTTTCCATGTACAACACATAGATCCCATGAATCAATTTGTTTTCATTATTCATATTGTCCATTCTAAACCTTGCTAGCTTGAAGAGTGAAACTGTAAAAGGGAATTTAAGAGAGATTTCAAATTCATCAGATTAAATGGCTCTTAAATCATTTAAATATAACAGAAGATGTCAAAGCAATTGTTTAATTTGAAATGAAAAATTAATGTGATTGCAACTTCGATATGCCTCTTACTACATTCACCTAACTCCTGATCACTTTCTGTCATTACTCACAAAAGACATTACATGAAATTTGAGCAATGAAACTCTCCTCTTAACATTATGAATCAACTTGTTCAAAAATTGGATTGATCGATTGAAACATGACCTCTAAAAACCATGAACTACTTTTGTGAAGCCCCTAACACAGAGGTCATGACTTGAGGAGTATGTAACAAACTACCCTTCCTGTAACAAACACCCCTTCCTGTAATGAACTACACCCATCCCAATCCCACATTCCAAATCAATTAGATTGTAGATTACACCTCTACACCTGTCATTCATATTGTGAATTTCACTCCTATATTTTTAATTAAAATTCCAATGTACAGATTGCTTGTTAATATCCATCAATCATTGTACATTACAAGATTGAATTTCTCCCATATCACTATCAATCATTTTACAGTCTTTTTTTTCTTCTACAGTGTTATTTGAAACTGCAACACAAATCGGTGTAAAATGGATATATTTTGTTTTCTCTTGTAATTTTCATTGTTGTATACCAACTATGTAAACCATGATCTGATTTCAAAATTCATCAAATGTGTTAAAAACATATACAGTTTTTTAAAATTGAATATTTGAAAAGATGTTTATTTGTTTGATATTTGTGAATGAAAAAAAAAATATATATATAGATTTAATTTACCATAATAGCAAAAAGTTGGATAAACTGAAGAAAAAAATCTGATGCACTAAATGCAAATCTTTGACTCCTTGAATAAAATAATCATACACTATCAAACATTAAAATAGATGATATATAACAAGACTGCTGTTCAAGACAGCCTTTTAAGATGGCAGAAAATCTTTGAAACTAATCAATCTTACTTTGCATTTTCACATGGTGAGATGTAGACATCTATGTCATTCTCTACATCAATGGTACAATGTCTAGGCATGATACCAAGCCCATTTAGCTGGATATCTGTTTGTGTCTCCTCATCAGCCCTCCCAGCTACATTGTGATCCTACGTAAAGACAAAGAAAAGTCAGAAAGAAAGAAAAGAAAAGAAAAGAAAAAAGAAAAAAAAAAAAAAAGAAAAGAAAAAAAAGAAAAAAAAAAAAGAAAAAAAGAAAAAAAAAGAAAAAAAAAAATCAAGTTTTTCGCAATGATTGCCACTCACTTGTAACAGCCACAAAGTACATTATGATCCTCAACTGTACATACAACAGAAAAATTAAAAATTGTGAACTCTTTAGAAAATGCCACTATAATCCAAAATATGACAAAGAAAATTGAAAATCTATAACACTCTTAAAAGTCCAAGCATGTTTGGGCCATTGTCTGATTGCATTTTGTAATATTGAACAGCAGAGTAAAACTCCACACATACAGAACGAAATAATTTATTGAGATTAGTCCAGTTCCTTTAAGATTATTCTGATTATATCATGGATGGATAAAGCGTGAAGATCTGCAGTTCTTACCTTGAGGTAGTAGACAAACAGTTCGTTGAGTGAAGGGTCAGCGTTTAGATTGACCAGCAAACCTTTATTCCTCTCTACTTTAATCCTAGAAGTCTTGACTGCTACAGCCATCTACTAACATGTCACTTTATCATCATTTAAAATGTACTTTTTAATGATCGTTCCCTTTAAGATCTAAATGAGAATCTTGGCTTACCTTGAGGTAGTAGACAAGCAGTTCATTGAGTGAAGGGTCAGCATTGAGATTGACCAGGAAACATTTATTCCTCTCTACTTTGATCCCTGATGTCTGAACCGAGATACCCATCTGTTCTTAGTGCTGCTTGCCTCTCCTAAAATCAAACATATTTACATATTAGCACCTGAAAATAGACCAGTTCACGGTTAGCACATGTCTCAAATGACCCCAATTTATCCACAGATCTTTGTACATTTTGAAATAATCACTACTACAACGATGGAGGTGCTACATAAATAGCCTTTGTTTCCCCTTTTCAAAGAATACATTGTACTTCCATCTGTGTATCATTTGGTCTGCAATGACCTTTATCTAATCATGTTCAGACTGCAACTATGAACTGACTTATTGTCATGACATGTATATGCACTGTATCTATGGTAAATTGCCAAGATTTCTGAATGGTTTCAGGCAGACTAAAATAACTCTCCATGGGGTAATACATTGTTTTCAGTCAGAATCAAATACATTTTTGCACATCAACACTTGAAAATTTCATTACATGAATTGTAGCCATTTAGTGACGGTACCAAATGGAAAATTGCCAAGATTTTTAAAGTATTTCTGACACATAGAAATAATTGTCTATAACAATACACTGTTTTCAATCAGAATCAAAGTGCTTAACTAAGATATAAATGCAATGAAGATCAAAAGTGTTACTTTTCAAAGAAATCAGGGCTCCATCTCACAAAAATTGTCATCAGTGACAAATGACAGTTTTTGTTACAAGCTAGTGAACTCCTTGCTTCTGATTGGTTATCAGTAGATTTGTCACTGATTTTTGCATTTGTCATTGAAAAGAGGCTTTGTGAAATGGGCCCCAGATCTTCCCCCAAAGAGGAAAGTTATCAAATGTTCTCCGAAAGTAACCTGAATGCATATTGATATCAAGTCAGCTGTGTAATACTGAATGGCTTGATGTCCGAAGACTCGTACTTCCCTTCTTTTAAAAAAAAAAAAAAAATTATATTTTTTTTTTTTTGGGGGGGGGGGGGCTGCAATTGAGATTTGTACATGCATTCATTTGGAATTCTACCACATCCCAGGTGAACAAACTATAACACATTGTGTTGGAAAAAAACCCTCAAATTTAGCACTTTATATCGGACTACTGAAGAAGGTAATGAGCTTACTTTGTGTATTCTTTCTGTGTTGACAAGTTTCTCTTCCCAACTCAGAGACATCTCTTTCATAAGCATCTCTGATTCCTCTAGTCTATCCTTCAGACTATCTGCTTTCATACTCTAAGAAAAAAAGATGGAGAAAGCAAATTTTAAAATAATATTGTTATGAAATACTATTAAGAAAATACTGGTAGTGTATATATCAAACTCTAAGAAATAAAAGATAGAAAAAGAAATGTTTAAATAGAATTGTTGTGAAATACTAAGGAAATAATGTAAAAATCAATCTGTATACAGAGTGTGCAATACCATGTAAAGCAGTACAAATATTACTAATTTTTAAATTATTAGATGATGCAGTAACGCATGTACATGAATACAATTTTATTGTAGATCACTGACACAAATCTCTGTTCAGAGCTTTTATGATTTACATAATATTAATAATAATAGTGGGTTCTTGTATGGCGCTCATGTCTGTCATACGTGACACTTCTGGCGCTCCAGTAAGAAAAAGACTCTTGTTTAGAAAGGCAGGAACTCCAAAAGATCATTAATTAAAATAAAACTTGAAACTTGATCAGATCAATGACACGTACTCCCATATACATGAGCCAAGTTATTTGTTAATTGGATCTTAAAGGTAAAGACCAGTTTTGGAAATGCCCCCCTCTCAAAAAATGAAATGGAAGCTCTTCTTACCAATCATGTGAAAAAATATGTTTTGTATAATACGTGATCATACAAATTTTGCAGAGAATTTGGTCAATTATTATATCTATTTTGACCTGATAGATATAACGCATGTGTCGCGCAAGTGTACGTAGTCCCATATACATTTTTTCTGTGTACAGTGCTTATAACTTTACCAAGACTGGGCCAAATTTCTTATCATTTTGATGATTCCAGAACCTTGCAGTACACACCAATACTTATATATATGCTAGCTGATCAACCTTTTCTGATCGATTCCACAATGTTTCTTTCACAATGCAATCGTGCATCATTAAATTAGAGCAAGAACAAGCAATTTTCATGTATATAATGACCTCTGTAACCTTTGACCTTGTGACCCCAAAATCTAATCAGATCATTGTCACCCCCATATGCATACATGTACATATGGGCCAAGTTTGAAGTTGATCCGTCAAATTGGTCTTTTTGTTATGGCGACAACGAGCCATTTTCATGTTTTTCATTTTCATGACCTCCTGTTACCCCAAAAACTAATCAGATCATTGTCCGTCCTATATATGCATACAAGAGCCAAGTTTGAAGTTGATATAGCGAACAACTCTTAAGTTATCAGGAGAACGAAAGCGGGATGGACGGACGACCCCAAAACATAATGCCTCCGGCAAGGTCGACCTTCGGTGGGCAAAGGCATATCAAAATAATGGATTTTGAATCTTTCAACTGATGTGTCTGATGACAAAGGTGACTCATCAGATGGTTATGAGGTCAACATTTTGTTTTTTAATTTACAAGAAAAACTTCATTTAGGTATTAATATCATATTTTGCTAACAGTTATTGCAACACTGAAATAGTTACCTTAGTTTCATGCGAGCAGCATAGATGTGGTTACGAACACATAGGTCACTTGGATAGTAAGCCATATCATTTGAAGTTGGTCTAGACTTTGGGTTTGGGAAGAGAATGGTGTCAACAAAGACTTTCAGGTGCCGCTTCATCTCCTTCACATTGGTCACACCATGGCCAACCAGTTCTTTAACTTTAGTTATGAGATCCTTATTTAGAGGATTAAGAAACCTGGTGAGCTAAAAGAAAGAAGAAAAAAAAGAAAAGAACAGAAATTAAGTTAAATAAAATTAGAAAATAATTAAAACTACAAAAAATAATGGAAATATAATTAGAAAATTAGATAACAAATAATATAAAACTGTAAATTCACTATATCTAAAAAAAAATCTTCTACACACTGCAGTTGGGATAAGACCTTTTTCTCATTTGGAATTAACAGACCTGAAAGTGTTCATAAGGATCTGAGTTTTGTAAGGACCCAAACTTCAAGGTCGACTTATGTTGACAGACTGTACATTGTTATGTCATGCTTTAGTTCTAAGGTGCCACAATAATGTGAAACCTGGTTTGACTCCTCATGGAACGGGATTAAATCATCATTAGTGTTAACCGATTGTGATACAATGTATCACATATACTCAAGAGCTTCTTCATTATCACTCCAGTGACCTATAGAAATTGAAATATTTAAAATTTCATGAAATAAAATACATAGGGAAAAGTGAGTGTGTGACATCAAAGGATCACTTATTTGCATACAGTCTATGTTAATGTATATTGTTGTTTTGTGAAACTGCACAAAACTTTAAAATGTTGTAACTTTATTATTTTACATCCTATTTTGATGAAGATTTGAGTCTTATTTTTGTTTGATTTTACTCCATTTATTCTAATCAGTCTTTAACTGCATTAACAAAAAAGTGAGGGTTTTACCATTCCAATAGGATGTTTATTCTTGTGATCTTCAACTTTAGGCACAGAGATGTAGATTCGATGTTCAGTCACTAACTGTGTGCTACTTCTTATCGCCTCTCGTACCTCACGACTCTTCACACCTCGGGCAAACGGGCTACTAGCTTCTTCTTTATTCAACTGGAAAGAAATGTAACCATCCGACATTCAAAATCATTACCCAGATTTTAATATTTTTTTTAAAACTTCCATGTAAAAGTCAAGGTTCAGTTTTCATCATTAAGTAATTTAGCTGATGTTGTGTGTCTGTCCTTCCGTTTGTTTGACGGCACTTTTCTCCATGACTGGACTAAAAAAATAGATAGTAATTCACTGTGAATCAAAAATAGCACAGTGGCAGTCCATGGACCCAGACTAGGCCTCGGCTAGATCCAAGACTATTGTGCAATGTAGATTTAAACTGCATATTTAGATTTCATGAAATTTATTACACTACAATATTCTTTTAAACAAATAATGCACAGCTCTTGCTCGAGCATGAGACAAATTCTTCAGACACTTCTAAAGTGAAGCATATGCTTTAATAAATGCAATCACAACTGCATATTATTTGTATAATAATGCATTGTAAATTAAAACGACCACCCTTCAAGCAATTTTGACTTGGCATTTGGCATTTCTGAAAGACCTGAAAGACTTCTACAGAACTGAAAGAGGGAACAGGAAGTACACAAATAAGAAATGTAAATTACCTGAAATTGAGGAAATCTAAGGACTTCCTTCATGATGATCTGAGCAGGGCATCCTTTTTTTCTTGAACCTTGGATCTTATGTCTTCGTTTGGTGGTTCCTGGATGATCACTCTAGAGAGATAGATTATAAACAATTCTCATTTGTAAGAAAATGCATTTGTCAAACGTCATGGAATATGCATTCAGCAACCCAAATTGTCACACTATGAGGTGGAGGAATCGTTTACATACAACATTGCATGTTCATGTCAAATAATCTGAATATTGTTTTTCCACTGCAATTTGGAAAAAAGTACAATTTGGTTGAAGCTTCATGTACTTAAATGGGAAACTTAAATTTTAATGGCCAAGTCCATATCCACCTGACGCATTCGATGACTGTCCTGATGTCTTGATCTAGTTGCTGGTCATGCCGAACATCTACATCACTGCAGTCATCGAATGCGTCAACAATGGTGACGCATTAATCATTTGTAGTTGAGATTGTATCAACCATAGACACTGTATTTGTATAATGTCTCCATAAATCTGAGAAAGTTTTGAAAGAGTTACCGTAAATCTCTGTGTATAAGGCGCACTTTTTTGCCGCCGAAAAAATTTGAAAGTCGGGGGTGCGTCTTATACACAGGTAATTTTTTTTTTTTTTTTTTAGTTTCGATTTACGGCGCTATGCCAGGCACTGTCTCACAGCTCAGAAATCAGCGTGTTGACTCACCACTCGGAAACTACAACAACGCTCAAATTTGTCTGTCATCTTGGTTTGAAAGTAATCTTTCTAATAGATCTCAATATGTAGTTTATAATAATAATTTCTCAATTTTTTTTATAACAAATGGTGTACCACAAGTAGGCACATTCATGGGGCACTAGAGGGCGCTTCGCTCGCGTACGACAATCTGAATGGCCTTGCTGCGGTGGGTCGGCAATAATCAGCCCAAAACTTGGATATGGGAGGTTGGAAGGATATATCTTTTTTATAATGTTATCCGGTCTTACCCTTAACCATCCTATGTTTAATCTATGTAGAAATAACATGCGAGTGTGATAAGAGAAACATCGGGCCCATTACTGAAGTAACTTTTTAAATATTAGCCTAGAAATGACCACCAAACGGAAAAAATGACACTTTTTCCCGACAAATCTTCATAAAATCTGAGTTATAAACAAGTCACATCTAGGTACACTAATACAAATACGATTTTCTGAAAATTCAGGTATGATTTATTAAGTTTCTTTCAAGTATATTTCTGCGCATTGCAGCGCCAATATTCTACACTGCTTCAAAATCACACTTGAATTTTTTTTTTGCAACGAATTTGATACGAGGTCCGCGAGTGTTCCCCGTTCCTTGCGTGTTGAAAGTTTGGTAATACATAGTTTGCATTGACTCGCGCACGAAAAAATGGTCGAAAACAAAATGTCAAATGAAGAAATAAACAAGCTTTTGTATAGGTATAAGAGTTCTACCGAGGTTTCTTTGTCGATTCAATTGATTATATGGTCTCAATTAGAATTCAGAATGATCTCACTGAAAAGTTAAGAAACCGACGATGTTCTCGATCTTAGTTATTTTCATTTTGCCAGCAGCCGATCTAGCGTTGTTTGGGCAAAAAGCTAGGCCGCTGCCTTCCCACGCGAACCCTTCCGAGTCCCGCTAAAATGGCGCTCTGCGGAGCTCCGAAGCTGCGTTGGTATCGCTGCAAACTCTCAGCCGGCTAGCTCCCCACGAAGGACCATTCGCGGTATGGCGAGAGTGTGTGTGTGAAGTATGATTTTGGATTCGAGAACGCACGTAATGCAACCGTGCGCGTCATTTTCAGCTGTCGAATGTATACGACCAATTTTACATGTACGATTTTTAGTACAGATACTTGGTCATTTTCTTCTTATATCTTTGGTTTTACAACATTTAAAAATATAATTTCTTCAAATTTGCTCCTGACTCGGTTCAGACTTATTGTCTGATGTGTTTTCAAGTCAATTTTTTTAATATATTTTTTTGCATGAATTTGCCTACCACAAGGTACTCCATTGTCAGAAATTTAGAGGATGCTATTCATATCATGCATGACTATTGATGTTTGGCATAGAACACAGTGCTTTTGCTAGGTGATGTGATGAGGCTGGTGTGGGACACTTGGTATCATGAAGAGTCTGGACCTGTTTTTAATTTTCATTAATGATCTTACACATTCTTCTACAACAACATTGTTACTATTATTTGTGACAAGTTCACAACTTCAACTGCACCTCGATGTAAAATGAAGGTCCTTCCCCGCATGGGTTTTCGGCAACAAAACAACAACAAAACAAAAAACTTTTTTTTTTTTTTTTTTTTTTTTTCCCCAAAAAAATAGGGGTGCGCCTTATATACAGAGATACGGTATGTCGGAATGCATGCATATTCTCTGTGTACATTGTATTTCATTATTCAATTGGCTAACTTATTTCAAAAGGATTTTAGGGAATTTAATCACCTAAATAAAAGAAATAGAAATAGATTTCTTTCCTACCTTGTCTCGTAGAAACACCTGTTGAGTACAGATACTTGGAACATATATTATATCACAAGTAGTAGTTCAAATATTACACAGCACCCGAAGAAAGAATATGTAAGACCATGTACAAAGTAATGACGCTTCTTTGCGAATTAAGAAGAAGAAACTTATAATCTCTAGTAATAAGGCCTCAGAACCGAGCAGAGAAACAAGCGAAGAAATAGGACAAGAATTAAGATGAAGCTGAATTAGCTTTGCTGTAGATCGATTCAAGACTCTCTAGAATACGTGTGCTCTATATGAACAGCTCAGGAGAAGTGATGAAAATAGGTGTGTCAAATAAAGCAAGCAAGTGTAATGTGCCTGTATAAGCTATACATGTCCACTAGGTGGTTGCACATCCCAACCCATAGGGTGTGGAATGTGCTTGCCAGAGAAAGTATGTGTGGCACTCTAGTAGTGTAACAGGTGTCACTAAAGAAATGAATGACAATGGAATAAAAGGCTAGACTTCAAGCCACACAATATAGACAAGACAATAATATATACAAATGCAAAGTTCTCCAAAGGTCAAGTCACTACAGGATCTTAAACAATGATTCACGAAACAATGATATTTTTTTTTTCAGATGCAGACATTGCCATGTAAATGTATTTTTGGTAATTTTTTTTTTAAATTGCCAAATTGGGTATGAAACATTTGATATTTTTTCATTTATGACGGGGAAAAAAAAGGAAAAAAAAGGATATTATTAAGTGTTTATGTTTACGAATCATCAGACTGGAATTTTCAGGGTGACAAAGGATAGAACCCATTGAAGTTAGGACGTTGTTTGAAAAATGTTCATTGATGAAAGCATACCATTTTCTTGTATTTGCTATATGTGTGACCTTTCATTTCAAACAGTTCAATTTTCCCTAATAGGAATAGATGCTGTTTCTTTAAAAAAAAAAGAAAAAAAAAAGGGAATATGTCAGAAGGAAAACTACATGATTTGATTCGATTAGGTATTTCAGGCAAATTTTATGTGTCTCATTTTCTTAGGAATCAAATGCATGTTAATACGAAGTATTTAAAATGAGGACATTTTTCTGTGAAGATTGAATA